TTTTTACCGGATCTTTGAATTGTCGGTTGACTTTTTCAATCACATCCTTCATACCCTCAAGCTTTCCAAGAATTGCATCCTCACCCACCTCATCTCCAACACCAAACAACCGACTCATCTGCCATTAAACAGATTAAGTGAAGAAAAAACATTAAATTTTGATTTAAAAGTTTAATTATTTATACCTGACCCAATAAGCCACCGAATTTACTCTTTAAGCTCATCATTCTGTCAAGACCTTTCTCCAATGTTGATGGAAATTGCAACAACCGAAGTGTGTGGCCCGTGGGAGCAGTATCAAAAACTATCACCGAGTAGTCCATTGTTTGCACCAACCTTCGGTTATAGTTTACACATATTAAAAGTTTTATTATTTATACCTGACCCAATAAGGGCTAGTTTCTTTCTCTTTCCCATTAATTAAGTCATATATGGTTAAAATGACTTAATGGGTGATGATGTATGTGAATAAAGTGTTGTATACGTAAGAATTGTGTTATCTCTAAACTGAATAAACTGTCTATAAGTAAATGGCTGGTGTCTGCTTGGTAGTTTATATGATATTTATCATTTTTTTTATTGAATTATAATGGAGGGCTCTTACTTTAGCATCTCTGCAAAACTCATAGCTTCATCGATTCCAGGAATTGAATTTGCTAAATCTGAAAGGAAACCGTCCATTGCATCTGAACCTTCTTCTTCTTCATTCTCCACATTGGGATCCACCTCCTAAAAACAAAACGTTAAAGGGCGCATGAATAGAAACCTACTTTAAGCCCATTAATTCTCATTTTTATGCAACGTACTTTCTTTATGCATGCATTTCATGCAACGTGGTTTCATCATTTTGTAATTTAGAAAAATGATAGGTTTGCATTTAACACGTTCAACCCTATTATCTATTTACCAAGTTCTATTATAATTGATTATCTGATATCACATAATCACTTCAAATCGAACATCCATATATCCCCATAATTGCATCAATCATGTTAACAAGCTACTTACTTTTAGGAACTGACTAAGACCAACCCCAAGAAATTCCAAAAACAAAAAAAGTTAAAATTTAGAGGAGCCAAGACTAACCATAGCATACAAATTGGTGAACCCATTAACCAATGTAGGGGCCTTGGTGAATCTCTGTTGAAACGCATCGCTGAGATTGTGAGCTGGGTCAGTTGAGATTATGAGAACAGAGGATCGGGCTGAAGCCAAAAGGATTGAAAGGATAGAGCTACATGTAGTTTTTCCAACACCACCCTTTCCACCAACGAAAACCCACTTCAGAGTTTTTTGGTCCAGTACATTTCGCATCGTCCCTTCCGGCATATTATCTCTACCGGCCATTTCTTCCATCTCTCTCTATCTATCTCTCTGTTGAAATATTTTACAGAAACCCTAGAAATTGGGAACCGGAGAGAGAGTTTGGTGGCGGGTTTTGACGAATTTGATGAGAAATTAGTTTGAGAAGGAGATCAGAATAACAAATGCCTACCATGGACATTTACTCTGTGTTTTTTGTTGGAGACGATGGGTTTGCTGAGTTAGATCACCTTGGCGATTTGGTGGATTCGTTCAAAAACAACGGAATTCGGTTCGAGAACGAAGAAATGTGATGGGATTCGCTCAGAAACAGAGAAATTGGGTTCTATCTAACCGTTAACGCAATTGTAGAAATCTTTGATTTTGTTTGGGGACATTGTCGTTGTATTAAATTGTTAAAATGACGTAAAATGATGGATTCTTGAAAGTTTAGCGGCAAATTCGAAAAATGATACTATAACGATTGTTGTGCTTTGCTTTTGAAAAATCTTAATACGTTTTCATACTTTTTACATAGACTAAATGCAAATTTAGTCCTATGGTTAGCAATATATATATATATATATATATATATATATATATATATATATATATATATATATATATATATATATATATAGATGAAGTCCAAAAATTTTATAACTTGCTCAATTGGTCTAAAATTGAATATTTTTTGTGGTTTTGGTTCATGGTAAAATTAAAATAACTTGAAAGGACTACTATGCCAATCCTATTTTCTTTTTACATTTCTTTAAATATATTTTAATGATTTCAAAAATAAAAAAAGAATCACCCCTACATTCGGTAAACCCCCTCTCTCTCTTGTAGCAATTAAAGAATCCATATTCATGGATATTCAAGGTCATAAGGAGCAAACTAATAAATTGGGTTTTTATGATCTATAAATCCACACAAAAATCAAAACAAATCTCCAAGATAATCAAAGTATCAAACCCATATGAAGAAGTTGATGGGTGTTATAGGGTTTGAGTGTTAGGGTTTATAAACCCACTTGACTGGCCGCCGATGTGCTCGTCATTTCATTAACAAAGGTGAGTGATGGTGGTTGCCGTTCCATTCCTGGTGCTTCCTTCATACTTGCTCAATTTGAAAATGGATTCTCGATGAACACACACAATGGGTATGGATGTGAAGATGATGAACTTGTTGGTGTGAAGATGACGATGACTCAACGTTTTTGTTCCGAGAACTATGAGATAGAGGGGGGAATAGATCAAGATTAGGGATGACAATGGGTACAGGTATATCGAGTTTCGTGTTCCCCATCCCCATCCTCATACCCGACCCCATCCCCATAGGGGATTAAAAAATTAATCCCCATCCCCATCCCCAATAGGTAATCGAGGATTTTTCCCTGTTGATTTTTTTTTGAACTTTTATGAAAAATAACTCATAATTATATATTAACCAACAAAACAAAAACTAGTAGAATTAATATAAAACACTATAATCATCGAATGTCTTCAAACACAAACAATAACATTCAACTTTACAAATTAAATTATTTTTTGCAAAAAAAAAAAACGACATAAAAATTCTTCCCAAAATTACACGCTTGATTGTTAAAAAACCTTACTTTGTTTACTAAACTTTTGTTTATGTGTTATTAAAAATAAAAGCATAAATAATACTATATATATATATATATATATATATATATATATATATATATATATATATATATATATATATATATATATTTATATTGGGTACCAATCGGGGCCGGGTTCAGGTACGAGTAGAACCATCCCCATCCACATCCCCGCTTTTTGCATTCGGGTAGTACCCATCCCCGGTCAACTCGGGTTAGGGTTTCGGGTACAAGTTTTTTTGCCATCTCTAATCAAGATCAAAGTTCCGGTAAGCTTGATAATCATAACGACGACTCTTTGTCTGGGTTGTCTTCGCATCAAACACGCACGCATACATAATGAAATCACAGATTTTGGGTGTAAGTAACTAAATCAGAATCAAATTGCACCATCATGGGTTGTCTTTTAAGAAATTTTGCACATGCCTATAAAGTAATTAACATCATTATCAGACCTTTGTTCCTAAAATTTGTAACTGGTGGGTACATCTCAAGGACATACTTTGCACCCTGTGAGTTTGAAAATTTTATTCATCTAGTGGGTTCATCCTAAGGATATGATTTTGAACTCTTTGGGTTAATCCAAGTTGCAGGAAAAAGATGAGATACACGTGCATAATCCAAGTGTCAAAATCGTGAAAGGGATACAATCCAAATGCAAGAATCGATTGTTTAAGAAGGGAGAAATAAGATATTTGTTGGTGGAATCGATTATTTGAAAGAAAGAAATCAAATTCTTTTGTTGATAAAGCTTTAATGGAATATGGGTGCAGTTGTGACTCATGAACAAGGGTCGGATCGCCGGTGGGTTTGCTTCAAACTGAAGCTTCATACCTGAAAATGGAGATCCCATGGAACATCCTATTTTCATTGTGTTGTGTGTATGTGTGTGTTTTGAGTTGCATGTATGGATAATATAAGTATGTATATATATTTTTTTAAATCTTCAGTGACGATGAAGATGACAAAGACGATGAGAGATGATGTATGTGTGTGTATGAGAGAGAGAAATGTACATAGTTGGGGTTTTATTTTTATTTTTTAATTATAAAAATCCTAAAACAAAATATAAAAATGCAAAAAAATAAATTAAATGGGTGTAATAGTCTTTTTATGTTAAACAATGACCATAACCACAAAAGAAATTCAATTTTGGACCAGTGGTGCAAGTTGAAAAAATTTTGGACTTCATCTATAATTTTTTGCTAACCATAGGCACCAAAAATGCAGTTTAGTCTTTTAGATATGTTTTAAAAAATTGCATGAGCTTAACTTATCAAAATTTCAAAAAACTAGGTATTTTAATGAAACACTTAGTTGTTTGTGTGACATTACATACAATACTTTTGCAAAAAATATCGAAATATGCATTATAGATTGTAACTTATTTTTAACCCGTCAAATAAACGAACTCATAGTTTTGAGTTAAAACATAAACATAAATAAGGTTGAATCAAACAAAAATATAAACATAAATAAGGTTGAATCAAACAAATTATATCTACAATATAAACATACACTGGTTACCTCAAACAACAAATATTAGAGTTCAAGTGGTAAGTTTAGTTTGGTGATGTTTTTCTTGGTAAATGGTCTTTTTAGCCTCTTATATTTGGGGGATGAAAAACTTTTGAGGAAAATATTATTTGTTTTTTTAGAAGGCAAAAAACTTAAAACATATTTTTTGATTTTTGTTTTTAGAAAACAAAAAAATCACCTTATGATTTTGGAAAATATTTATCAAGTTCTAACCATATTGTCATATTTATTTTTCTACCCCACCTCCTCCAACATCATTCTTTTTTATGATGACTTTAAAAAACAAATATTTTTTCTGAAAATTAAATACATAAAAAAAGACTTTTCATTCACATCTTACGCACATAGAAAAAAAACATAAGACATTTTACATTTTTCAAATAAAAACCACTTTAATAAGGCCAAAGGTTAATGATGTAGAATGTGATTTTTTTTGGAAATAGTCATTTCAAGATAAGGTTAACTTTTTCTAAAAAACTATGCATATAATTCACCGGTTGATAATGGTAATTCCATTCAACAATTATTTTCGTACTTTATTAATTTAAAGTTGATAATGGTAATTATATTCCACAATTATTTCCGTTACTTTATTAATTTAAAGTTGATTGAACACATAGCTGAGATAACAATATTCGATGAGTAGATAATTCTTTATAAGATCTCTTTTTGGTATACGTACGTTATGAAGTTAAAAATTATACATGTCTTTATGACAAACGTTGTAAAATCATAAGAAGCAAAAATCCTTAACTTAGTAGAAGATCACACACACTCGTTAAATTGGCGGTCTTACTAGTTACTATGTGTAATCACACACACACACACACTCATCGGGGCTTATAACATCCCAATGGAAACAAAAAGTTATAATAATATAGTTACATATATGTTTAGTTTACATTACATATATTCAAACTAGGGCCAATATTCGCATAGCACTCAAGAGTCAAAAGGCAACAGATCATATATATTTATATACATATTACATACATGGTTTATTTTTGTTAACAAGAGTTGAGATCTTAGTATTTACAAGAAAAAGGACATGATTGAAAATTGAAAGGTTGTTATATATGACCCGCCACTCGCATAGTATAAAGGTTGATGGGTTAATAAAGAGAGTTGTAAATTGACAAGGTGGCAATTATGGTGGAGATGCAAATGACAAGGGAAGGGAGTAGAGTGATATTCAAAAGTTTACTCATACCCCAATACCCTGCTACTGTAATTGTCCCATCTGCAACCACTCGCGCTAGTGTCCCCGCTTCTGTTGATAGCAGCCCCCCGTTGTAGGTCCCACGAGATAGACGTGATGACATCACCCGAGATAGTAACGACAAGTTCACACCTAAAAATTAATCAAATACTATCAAATTTCATGATATGATCAATACCCCCAAACACCCTACCATTCCTGGACAAAAAAAAAAAAAAAACTATTTTTTATTTTTTATTTTTTTTTAATTTCGTTCAAATATACAACTAAATTTATTCTGTTTAAGATAATTATATATAAAAACTTAATTAATTTTCTGCAAAAGAAATATTAATTAAAAATGTTGTTGTGTCATGTTCATGTATGTACCTTCGAGAACTTCAGCAGACACGAATGTGAGGATAGCCGAGAGGATATATTGGGTTGTGGAGTAAGGGATGATCACTTGAAAGCTTAAAACAATACCCAAACACACCATTATCTCCGAAGCCAACAACACTTGTCTGCATATGATCACAAAAACATATACATATAATACAACTTATATATCCTCATAAGTTTATGTTCATTTTGGGAAGTAGTTTTAAGTTTTTACCTTTCTTCAAATACATTGCTGATGTAGCTCCCGACAAAGATGCTGACTGGAAGAACAGTCAACCCAAGACAAGCAAGAAACATGGCAACTTTGTTTGTTGACCATATAAAGTAGTATGAAGTGATGACGCTTGATTCAGCAAGTAAGATCTCCATCGCGTATTTCAGCATGAAGTATATAATCAACTGAACCTGTTCACATGCAAAAAATATTTTGTATGATGAGGATGAGGAGGGTATTTACGTCTTTTGCACATACAAGGTACATACCTTGACAGATGGAGTAAGAAGGCGATATGCAGACATTATAGAAGTAACAGGCTCACGGCTTTCCTTGGATAATTCATCGCATTCTTGTTGCTCATCTTCATCTTGTTGATTTTTCTCTGAACCCAAAACTAATGGCTCCAAGACACCGGTTTCTACAATGGTATCTGCTAGCAACAATATAACATGCATAAAACAACTAATTTCTTTGTGTTTATTTAAATACACAGCAGCGTATTATAAGATGATAACGGAAAATAACAATCTACCTACTTAACATGTGATATCAGTATAAGGAATGTACTGATTGGTTTTTACCCATAATAAATACACACATCCTTGTAAGTCTTTACCCATAATAGCAATGTGCTTATGTAAGTACATTTCTAAAATGGGTAAAAAATTTAAGTATGTTGTTGTGTAAGTTTCATATTATATGTTGCAATTATCGGTAAATGAATGTAAACATGTTGCTAGTATGAGTAAAAATGTATGTAAATAGGAGTAAAAAACTGCAAGTATCTTGCTATTATGGTTGAAAATAAGCTACATTACTTATAGGGTTAGGGGATTTTTGATAAAATCGAACCATTTAGTGCTAACCTATTAATGGTTCAGAGATGGTAGGGTTCCTTAACCGTTTACAGCCGTTCAGAGGCGGTATCAAACGCCCTGAATGTTGACCGATTCAGAGGTGATCTCTGAATGGGACCATTCAGAGGTTATCAAACAGACCCTTGATATCTTCTTAAGCCACTAACTATTGGACAATCTTCTTAATAAAATTGAACCATTTAGTGACCTGTTGAGTACAATTTAAAGTGCATTGCTATTTCCATCAATTTGTAACAACATTATTACCAGATGCTATGTGTTGCACGATAATCTCTTCTTTCTCAAGTAGAGGCTCTCTGAAAGACAACCATAGCCAAAGCAAATAGATGAACCATGCAAATGCCATGAACCATCCAGGTAAAGTATCTTCATTGAAGGTGAGTTTAAAGATCTTGAATTTCCTTTGAAATAGACAAGCAAGAGCGGGCCCACAAGCCATTCCGAGTGCACCAGCACTCACAAAACCAGCAGACGCTTTCATTCTTAGCTTTGGAGGCACACAATCGCTAATATAACGCCTGTTTACAGCCCTTGCTGATCCCAATCTAACAAACAACCAGTTCCACTGGTCAAACTATTTTGACTTTCAAGGTCAAAATAACTAAATAAGTTAAAATCATTTTGCTTTCTTTAAGTTTTAAAAAATATTTCATCTTTACAGCGTGAAACTTTCATATATTTGTGTATTATAGCATCTTACTTTCATTACTTTTTATTAGAGCATTGTACTTTCAAACTGTTTCTTATTAAGGCATTTTACTTTGAAAATTACCCATTTATAGCATTATCCTTTCAGTTTTTTTCTTTCATTATCCGTGAAAATTGCTTTTTATTTGCATGATATTGCTATGATTCTGTATATTTTTTTGAAGTATGACATGGAAATGAAAGTAGAATGCTACAATAAACAAGTTGATTAAAGTATATTGCTATACATAACACCGTTTAACATTTAAAAAAAACCATGCTAATCACAGTCTAACACCAGCTAACCTTTTAAAATATATTGACTTTTTAGGTCAAAAGACTAATTTTTGTTCCAAAATATGTCGAATTAATATGATTTCTTCAAGTTTTGAAAAAAGATCTTTAAAGATGATCTTTACAGTAAAAGAACTAAATGCAAGAAATAACAGTGTACTTTCATATATGTGTGTGTGTGTGTGTATTATAGTATCCTACTTTAATTTCTTATTATACTATATGGGCCATCCAGATGGTGTGGTTTACAATTTTTCTTTTTATTATATATTTTCAGTTTTTTTGTTATAGTTGTTTAAAAAAGCTCTGTTCAGATGACATTGTTATAATTGGGTAGATTTTTTTGATGTACAATGTTGTAATAGGAAGAAACTAAAGTAGAATGTTACAATAAACAAATCATTTTTGTACAATAAAGGACAAATTTCCTAGAAGAAATAGATAGCTTACCCACAAAACACGCGTCCAACAAGAAGAACATATATGGAGTCAAGATCATAAGCCAGGGCATACAAAGTATTCCCCATAAGAAGGACAATGCTGCTGAAAATAAGAGGCTTGATGTATGATTTATTAGACCATGCACTGAAATAAACTGAAGAAAAGACCTGTGCAACAGCCATTGATCCAATCACAACACCACAAACAGTGGCTGCAGCTCCAAGGCTAAGAGAGTAGTCATCTGCTGTTGGCACAATGATGTATGTGTTCACCATATACAAAAATGTATTCACCAAGTTCAAAACAAGTGACATGAAATGATATCCTTCATTTGTATTCTTCTCTTCTGATGAAGGCAATGGCAATTCATCTTGCATGATAAATGCATGTTTTCCCAAATACTGAAGGAAATCTGTTGAGTTCATTAGTCGACTCTCAGCTGCTTTGATTGATTCAATGATAGGGTCCTGTAATTTATTACACGGAAAAGCAAAACCGTTAATCTTTATGAAACTTACAAAATGAAGATTTTTTTTTTTGATAGATACCGATATGTGAAGAGTTGGGTGGTCATAGATTGATGATGCATAGTGTCTGTGATCATCTTTGAGATCAGCAAGATTCCGAGATATTGATCCAACAACTGCTGATATGCCCTGTACATGTAGGTAGCATATGGTAGTAATGTAGTGGCATTTTCGTCTTTTTGATGAAAGGGAGTCATGGGACTAGGCTGGGAAAGTTTTCTAGGGGTATTTTCGTATTTTTCACAAACGAGAGGTTAAAAGCGAGTATCTGTTCAACAATATCATTCCATGTTTTTACGTGGGAAAAGAAGTTGCAATCTATGTCTCGTTGACAAAAGGGTGTAATTTCGGATGGCAAGATTTTTAGGGCTAGTATCGTCTTTTGCACAGACGAGATACTAGTCTATGTTCCACCTTTCTGTGTGGGACAAAAAATTGCAATTTTAGGTGGCAAGCTTTCTATGGCTACTTTTGTCTTTTTGCATTGTGACCCTCTTCAACCCTGTTGCCACCTTTTTGGGTGAGACAGAAAAGTTGCAATTTTGGATGAGAGACTTTCTAGGGCTATTTTTGTCTTTTGAACATACGAGACATATGTTCAACCTTGTTGCACCTTTCTCGGTGGAACAAAAAATTGCAATTATTGTCTCATTGACATCACTCTTAGTCCGATGCATGCCAAACAACACTACAACCTTTCTGTTATGTCATGTCATGTGTAAGAGACGAAACCTTAGTGTATGTGCTAGTGTTATACCACATGCTTAAAAACTTGTCGTAGCTGAGAATAAGGATGATTTGCTCGAGTTTTGACATAGTAAGTAGTGAACTTATATCCAAACCGCTTATCAAACTTTTTAAGAATCTTTCTTAAACCAATAGCATTCATTTCAACAAAGAACAAGAGCCTCAAAAGATCTCTTCCCACTTCTCTATATCCTTCTCTTAGTTCCACAATCGAGTCATGATGTGGGCCATGTGAAAGGGACTCATCACCATGGTCAGCAAGACCTGATAGCCTGGTTGCGAGTTGACCTTGTCTTCTTAATAAGAACAGAACTATCTTCTCAATCTGAATCACAACAAGATTCTCATCAAGCATTTGAAGAAATCAAAACTTGGAATATTTATGTAAAATTCCAGTTCTTTTGGTTTCTAGTTTAGAAAATAGAAATTACAAATAACGTACACCTGTTCATCAAGCATTCGAGAGAAATCACGAAGAACATAATCGCGATCCTGGACTACAACATCGTTTTGTTGAGCATATTGCTTCACTTTCTTCTTTAGTAGCTTGTAGTCAATATAATATCTGAAAATAGATAGACAAATACACAAGCTATCCTGTCATAGTGTCATATTACAAACCAACACATCTTAGACCTATTGGTTGGAAGAACGTTACCCTTTCCATTCTTGGATCTGCAATTCCTTCAACTTTTTCCCAAATGCAACCATTGTTGACCACACAAATTACAGTCTTCTGTAGAATATAAACAGATTAATCCATAGATTACAACTCTCTAATGCATGAAAACAGCACTTCCCCAAATTTGCCCAAAATGGATTTGCAAATTACAACAGAAAGCAGAATATGGTTCAGAAATTCAATCAACTATGTTAGTAAAATTCAAACGATGAATGTGATTCCGTTTTATGAATCAAAACCATAGAGAATTTACAGTTTCTGTACAAACACAAACAAATCAATTTATGCAGCCGACGATGAAGTTGTTTTTATGTAGTTAATAAGCTTGTAATGCATGAAAGCTAAACAAGTAACGATTTGTCACTATTTTCTGATTTAAATACACTGAGCTTGTACTCATTTGTGTTTGATCAAGCAATAGAATCAGTTGTCGAACGAAGAAATCAAAGCGTAAATGAACGAATTAAGAGCAACAACTAACCTCCGATTAAGACTGAAAATGTGTAACAATCAAATTGTTTCCTCATATTTAAGGAAATTTTCATCGAAATTCAAAGTTAAATTTTAGATAGAAACAAACTGGATTTTGTATAGTAATTCAGTAGCAGTGCCACATTTGCCATCGGAATCTCATCAGAGAAATATACGTGTCGCCGGTGGGCGGTGGAAACCACTTCACGTATTTAAAAAAAAAAAAAAAACAAAACCGTTTCTAAATCATTTAATGATTAATGTCTAAAAAACCAACCTTCAAATATCCCTTTAGTTTCAAACATTTATTTTTATTTTTAAAATCCTGTACGTAAAAACCTAACTGAAGCAACGAATTGTATCTTGTTACATATTAATGTTGATATTACATCTATACTTTTCTTAATGTGGATGCATGTGTGTATGTTTAGTGACGTGGATGTAAACAAATAATTAATTTTGTTGACGTGTGATTTCTTAATATTATTTTTTTGTTGGTGAATAATTTTTTTTGTTGTTGTATTATAAAAACTTATTATCATGAATTATAGTAACATAAAATAGTTAATGTTATAAAAGGGTAAGAAACTGGTTTATTCTTCATATAAAACATCATTGATTTATAAAGAAATGACACGTGAAGTCGTGAAGATAAGCAACTGAAATTTGTGTTTATGAAAATACCATTATTTCATTAATTTTTAATGAACAAAATCAAAAAAATTCTTATATTTTTATGGTACTTACTGAAACAATGATATTTTATAAATAATAAAAAAAAATGTTACTCATTTGCGATTTAACATTAACCCCAAGAAAACAAATTGCCCTATAAACCCATCTGCGTTCGTCCATCCCCTCCCAAATATCTGATCAAAATTTTAGAATAGATAGGTGATCGTTTTGTTTTTGTTTTTTTTTTTTTTTTTTTTTTTTTTTTTTGCAATATTAATCCTAATTCAGTATATAAAAGTTATCATATTAATATTTGATATAAACATTTTATCTATAAAAATTAGAGGTAAATTGCAACGAAATACTCACATCGAATCAGATCCAGCTTCTTCACATGGGATAAATGATAGACCACTAATATTATTTTGTTCATACCAATTTTAAACCGTAGACATCATATATGAGATTGTACACATCAATCACTAGACTTTTGTTGTTTTAAATAATCATCGGAATATTTTATTATGTTAGCTATTAAAAGATATTGATGCATTTTTATCTAAAACTTTTTTTTTCTTACAGTTAAAACTTTTTTATTTGGTCCGTGGAAAATCTAAATGAATATGTGCTCTCCATATCAACGTAGACCCATGTGAATATTCTTTATGATTTTTTTTTTCCAAACCATTAAAATAACATTCATGCATTCCGCTAAAACGTCGTCGTTTGAGGTGACATCTCCACTTCAATACTGTTATGTGGTAGTGAGACATCAATTATTTTCATCCACGTTATGTATTTAAGTAAAAAAAAAAAAAAAAAAAAAAGATAGATATGTGTGGTTAATGTTTTTGATGCATCAGTGAAAATATTGAAAGAAATTATAGGTAAATACATAGGCGTGTACATGAGCTTTCACAAAGACCTAGGAACATGGAAGTTTCAGACATCGAAAACACGTATTTGTGTAAGAAAAAGATTGTAATTAAGTAGTCAATCTCTCACTAAACAAAAAAGGTTGATAAAACATTAAAACTAATTATATATACAGAATTTGAATTGCTTCTGGTATAAAAATGTATACATATAAATGAATAAAGATAACAATTTGAACTTACAATTTGTGGGGATTTTGAGGAAATTCGAGAGCTTGTATGTCTTTTAAAGCCTCACCACAAACTATAAATGAACAAGATGAATAAGAGTAATATATATATAGAACGAGGGGTAGTGGAAGTGTCCCTTTAGATATGCAAAGGTCAGCAAATTTTAGCTTGTATCAAAATAATTATGGTATAGGTAATATTTATAAGAAAAGTTACGTACTTATTAAAACTTAAATATAAATACTTTTATCCAAATTTTGATTAATAAGATATTATTTAAAGCTATTGACAACATTTGTTGTGATTATAAAGGGGTATTTTCAGATTATGTAGCCACAACTCTACAACGATTGTTATCCATCCAAAATACAAAGTGTAACACTTAATGACACAAAAAGGCGTGACAATGTTTACATTTTACAAGGAGCAAGACTAGTCAATATAATCTATTTAAACCATTTGGGTTGTGGTGATTTGGTAAGAAATATGAAAGATGTGGTGAGTAACACATTGAGCAATGTTCAAATTTTAATACGGCTTAGTTGATGTGATCATAGAGGTTCGTCTGCAATGACTTTAAGGCGTAAAACAACCTCATATTCGCAGCGAGGATTAGTCAGTATACGTAAACAGGCTCAGATACCCTCATTAAGGAAGTCTCAATTACACTTTTGCTATATAGAGGTATATTAAATAAAACCATCAATTTAGTTAAGGTGTTTTTAATTTTTTTTTTGAACCGGCAAAATGTGATATATAAAAATGAAAATAACTCCACTAGCAAGCAGCTAGTAGAGAATATAGTTACAATACATTAATAGAATAAAGGGGAGGAGTTCCATACTCTCCAATCTATACTATTATTTGCTCCCTATGTTTAATCCACACATATGTCAAAGATTTAACAGCCCCTACTATTCTCTCTGAATTTAAGACAATTTTTTTAAAGATCCTGTCATTCCGGGCTCTCCATAAACACCATATGGTACCAAATAAGATCGCAGTTAATCTACTCCTCTTCTTAGGACAGTTTCCCCATCTAGATGCATAATCAATTATGCCCGATACTGAATGAAAATCCGTCTCCGGTAAACCACACCAATGAAGGATCATCCGTAATACATCCCTCGCCAACGTGCATGTTGCAAGAATATGGTCACCTGTTTCATCTGTCATATTACAGGCACCACAGATAGTTGAGTCCATTGTAACTCCCCTGGTTTTGAGTGCTTCAGCTGAGGGTATTCGACTTTGTTTCGCTCTCCAAAGGTGCTTTTAATTATAGATATGTCCCATATCTATATAAATAAGAAATTCATTAAGATCCTCCAAGTTTAAACAATATATAATTATGAGGTCCAAATTTTACGAGCAATCATCTTTTTAAAGTTCAAGTATCGTTTTTGGATTGGAGATATGACCGAGTAAACTCAGTAACGAGTGGATGGGAATGCACGTTGTTCACTTTAATGGCAACCACAAAGGAAACAGTCGGGGTTATAATCTGGAATTTATCAATATTTTTATTGATTTATATTTTTATTTATATATCACATATTCACATGCCTCAAAAAAAATTTGGGAAATTTTTTTGTTGCATCGTATTTGTCTCTTGTACACTCGTCCAAACGAAAATAAAAGCATACACTCACAAAAGAACTATTCTATTGTCATGCATTAATATTAATATAAAAAAATATAACACGACAAAAGAATTTTTCTAGTTTATTAGCCTGTAAAAATACCGTTTTTTATGTTAACAGAAAGTTATTCCACATTAAATTAACAAAGTGATATATACGAAGGAGTTAGTTTCAACTCATTTATGAAAAATATTCTTATTAGTTTAGGTTACAATTTATCTCAAACTAAACAAATAAATATATGACCAAAAATGCATCAATGATCTATCTTGTTTGCATATTTCTTCGAGGATGTCCAAAATTGATTCCACTTACAAAAATATTCTTATTTAAGGGGTTTGCTGTGGATTTGATCCAGAATCGGTCTTTAAGAATCAAATATCATCAAAGCTCCTGGATGAATCAAAAAAAATAGGTCGTTATCATTATTATAAATTTTTATTTTTAAACAAAAATATATAATAAAAAAAATTAAGTCTTGTGCAGCTATCCACTTTATCCCTCCTCAACTCCCCTATGAATTTTGATCCTTAATATTAATATTATTAATGAAAAACGTTTAAATGTGACCATTTTACCCTTCTACTTATATATTTTTTATTTGTTTATTATAGTGGTAGAGTCATAAATACTATGTTCATGGACTCACCACCTCAACAACACTCTCTTTCTCGTTCCTTCGGCCACAACATTAGTCAGGCGACCTTTTCACCTTCTCTGGTGTCGATTTCTATTCATTTATATTCCAGTTGAAGAAAAAAAAAACTAATCTTATTGTGGCTCCCAGCCCCCTCGCATGTTGACCTCCTCCTACTCTAACAATCGGTGACACCACCACTTTTTTTGTCCATACTTTTAGTGGTCTTCCCCACCACAACCCGTCCTTCCTGCGTTCATCATACTACTCAATCATGAACATTATCACCACCACTACCCCTCCCCTCCTCTAATGGCAACCCTTTCACATTCTCTAGTGCTAATTTTTATTCACTTATATTTCAGTTGGAGAAAAAGAAAAATTAATGTAATTGTGGCTTCCAACCCCCACCAACCTCACAACATCAATTCTCTCGCATGTTGACCTCCTCTTACTCTGACAATCGGTGACACCACCATTTTTCTGCCCATACTTTT